AAATGATTAATTATTGCCATAGAATGAGTGTGTGTGTGCTGAACTATTGACATTAACAGTGATAACATGTGTGACCCTGACCACAAAGAACTGTGACATTTAGCACTGCAGGATAGCAGGAGATCCTACTGTAATTATTGAATTATTGCCATAGAATGAGTGTGTGTGTGTGTGTGTGTGTGTGTGTGTGTGTGTGTGTGTGTGTGTGTGCGTGTGTGCGTGTGTGTGTTTGTTTGGCTGGCTCCTAAAATAATCGAATCTGTCCTCTGCTGTTTCATCTTGTCGAGAGCTCCCTCTGGAGGCCGGGCCCAGAATGCTTCGAGGATTCACACAGTAGGACATGTGACAAGTTGAACTGCACCGCATGGCTTCTCTTTCCGCCAGCTTTCCCTTCATATACAGCAAAAAGCAGCAGGTGACTTTGCTATGTATTCCTATAAGAGAGACTGTGAGGTCACCATCCGCCCCCTCCTTTTCTCACTCACATTGGGCCAAGTGACTGAAAAAGCAAGTGGAAGATCAGAATAAAAGATTCTGCATATAAAACTGTTTAATGAAAACCACAAATTTTTCATACTCACCTTTATTCTTGGAGTAAATGACATACTTATGGCAGAGATTTGCCTGAGCTTGATTCCCGTGATTAACAGCTGATTCAGTTGTTGACCTGCTCTGTGCACAGCTGTGGCCTGAGCCCAGCCAATCAGAGCTTAAGTTGACCATGTGCTCAGGGTCAAGGCAGACTGGCCCAGCAGCCGAGAGGCCACCAGCTGCCTTCAGCTTGAGAACCAGCCAGAGAGCCAGCCTGCACTGTGTCCTTAATGAGTGCCTTATAGCAGGTAATGCCTAGGTTACAATAGTGAAATCTTTTGTTTTTTCGTCATTATGAATTACTGTTTTGTTTTCTGTATGGAAATGAGGAGAAGATTTGGCAAGTGTATATACCCACAGATGTGACAAAGTGCATAAGAGGAATTAGGAGAGGAGTACGAGTGTGTTTGTGTGTTCAGGAACCAACTGACTGGCAGGGTGTCAAAAACATAGCAGTCAGAAGTAATATTTTGCACGCAAACTGATCCATGCCATCTTCTTCTCCAGTAGTAAGTTTGACAATATTTCAGCTGTTATGTGTATGTGGAGGACAGACATCATGGTCGTTGAAATTACAGTCAGTCCCATCTCCCATTGGATGGACATACTTTTCTTTCCTGTTCTGTTCAACGCTACCTCTCTTCTCTGTGAACTTTAATAAAAAACTGTATTCCCCTGATCTGTACGTCTGGACTCCAAATAATGAAACATATCGATCTGTGAAATGCATCTTGCTCAATAGTCACACTACAGCTGGAAGCCGGGAGTAAAGGCAGACACGGTCAAAAATGCAAGCAGAGAGAGAGAGTGCACCATCTAGTGGTTATAAAACAAAAACTCATGATCGATAGACAGCTTGGTGGACAAACTCTGCAGTATTGAAATGCACATTTGAGTCCGTGAAGATAGATAGATAGATAGATAGATAGATAGATAGATAGATAGATAGATAGATAGATAGATAGATAGATAGATAGATAGATAGATAGATAGATAGATAGATAGATAGATAGATAGATAGATAGATAGATAGATAGATAGATAGATAGATTTCTTTTTTTATTTTGGTTGAGCCTGACTTGTATTGAACCTTGAGTGTTCCATTAATACTGATGCTCCTTTCCAAATATATATTCCAAAGATATTGATCTAAAATGTGGCAGGTTTCATTTTGATTTGCTTTTAAGAATTATACAGAATTTTACTGTGCTGATAAAAATTGTGTAGTAGAAATATACCTTTATATATATTTACCATATGTGATTATTGAAAAGATGGAAAGAGAAATGAAAGACAGGATAAGGAGGAGTGTGGAATGTGTGGGTGTACTCACGCGAGCTCACATAACTGCGTGTGTGTTTCTGCGTCTGAATGCGAGCAATCTTTTGTGCTGTCTGAATATTTCTCATCCCTTCTCTCTGGAGAGAGCGCTCTGGCATGGCCCTTAGAGGATAACAGACTGTTGTCGTGAATGGGCTGTATAGCCGCTGCCTCTGCTTGTGTAGCAAACTACCTCATGGCCTTGTACTCTTACAACAGTCTACTTTTGTTCTAGTTCCTCTTCAGCCCATCCCTCCCCTGCACAGATGCAGTGCCCACACACTCTGTCCCTGAGAGCTTGGAAGAAGAAAAAAGTACTTCTTTTGAAGCACAAGTTTTAATTGTACCCTGAAACTCAGGTGTTCAAGTTTTATGCCAGTTCTGTGAATGAGTGTGCTGTCACTTATGTAAATGTAGAGATTATGTAAATGTGAGTGTGATCAGTAACTTTCAAGATGTTACTGAAATGTATTATTTAGAAATAAAATATTGCAATTTGAAATAAGTCACGGGCAACTTACAAACAACATCTCTTACATTCATTATTTGGACAAAAAAACTATGACATTTTTCAAAATAGTTTCTTTTGGGTTCCACATAAGAAAGAAAGTCATACAAGATTGAAACAACATGAGTGTATGAAAGCCCATTTCTCCCACATAAGGGAAAAAAGCGTGCTTTGGTGAATCATAATTATGAAAAAAATATATATAATTATGAGATAAACAGCTTAACTTACTAAGTAATAATTATAAGATATAAGTATGGAACTATGATATAGTAAGTCATAATTATGACCAAAAAAGCTGATATTATGACATAAAAATACAAAACTGACGTACTAAATCATAAATATGACATAAAATGCTGAAATTATGACATTCTAAGTCAATTATGAGATAAAAATATGAAACTGGCATTAAGTCAAAATTATGAGATAAGTCGATTTGTCTTAATTGACTTTTTGTCATAATTGACTTTATATCTTATAATTTTGACTATTCTCTCATAATTATGACTTAGTATGTCATAATTTCGACTTTTCAGTGGGTATATGGGTATAGAAAAGAAAGTTGGAAGTTGGAAAAAGGACACCCCCTCCCCCTCCCTCCTAAAATTACTTGTAAACTCAATCAGATTTAGCTAATCACCTTCTCAATGGCACACAAAGCCATTTGACTTTCAACTGTGATCAGCTGTGGTCATTTCGATTAGCTCAGCATGAAAAGAGCTTTCCTGAAGCATTTCAGTCCTTGGTAGTGCAACTGAAGCAAACAATCAGCTATGGGTGGCAAGACACAGTCAAAAGATCTCTGGGATAATATCTCTGGGAAGTTGTGGACAGGCACAAGTCAGGAAATGGATACAAAAAATGTCAAAGGTTTCATCAATGCCTAGAAGCACAGTGAAGTCTAATTAAGAAGTGGAAGGTATTTGGTACAACACAGTCCCTCCCTGGGTCAGGAGGAAACTGGTCAGAGAGGCTGCCAAGAGGCCTACAGCAACTCTGGAGCAGTTGCAGGAATTTATGACAAAGAGTAGTCATTGTGTGCATGTGACAACAATATCACAAATTCTCCACAAATGTGGCTTGTATGGGAGGGTTGCAAGAAAAAAGCCACTCCTCAAGAAAGGCAGCATGCAGTCACAACTGAGCTTTTCCCAAATGCACCTTGAAGATTCTGAGGCAGATGAGAATAAAATTCTCAACTTCTTCTCTTCTCAACACCAAACGAAATGTCTGGTGAAAATCCAACACAGCTCACCATCCAAATAACAGCATTCCTACAGTAAAGTATGGAGGTGGTAAAATCGTGTTATGGGGTGTTTCTCTGCAGCAGGGACTGGAGCATTTGTCAGGATAGAAGGAAAAATGGATGGGGCATAATACCGTCAAATTCTTGAGGAAAATCTGCTGCCCTCTGCCAGAAAGTTGTCAATGGGAAGAAGGTTTACCTTCCAACATGAGAATGACCCAAAGCACACAGCAAAACTGAGCACACAGTGGTTGAAGGAGAAAAACGTGAATGTCCTTGCATGGCCTAGTCAGAGCCCAGACTTAAACCCTATTGAACATCGATGGAATGACTTGAAGACTGCAGTTCACAAATGGTCACCATCAAATTTCACTGAACTTGAGTAGTTCTGCAAAGAAGAGTGAGCAAATATTACAAAGTCTAGATTGCAAAGTGTGAAAATTTTGACTTGTAATAATTATGAAGTTTTATATCATTATGATTTACCAAACCATGTAGTGGAAATGGGTTTCCATATGAGGATGGGTGAACTATCCATTTAATAGTAAGTAAGTTAAGCATTGCTGTACTTTTGAAACAGTTGTGAGTGGTAAATCAAAGGATAGTCCTCCTTTCTAACATCCAGTTGGACCATCAGGATCATGTGTTTTTATTCTTGCACACATTGATTACACAATCATAAATATCTACAGGGAATTTCCAGGGAATAAAGAGAGATTAGAATAGGGGCCTAGAACATTCCTTCCTCTTGTCAAGGCCACGGGGCCATCAAGTCTTTTGAACAACTAATGAAACACAGAAGGAACAAATTCTAAAGGAACACTTTATATACTATAGTAATGAAAAACTGTTTTAATCACATGATTGGGTATAAAAATAATAAGACTACTACTAAGGAATAATTTTGTCAGTTCTTTTCTTTAATGATAAAATAAGTCATTACTATTTTATTATTTCATTAAGAAATTGTGAATAAAAATGTGAATTTAAATAAAAAGAAGAATTTGCCTCTTAATTTGATCAATTAAATCCTTTGCTTAGTTAGTAGTACCCGTTGAGCATATTAATAATCAGCATATTAGAATGATTTATTTGACACTGAAGACTGGAGTAATGGCAAGTTATTTTAAATTGTAATAATACTTCATAATATTAAAATTTTGACCATATGTTTAATCAAATAAAGGAAGCCTTTGTGAGCATGAAAGAGTTGATCATGCTAAAGAGCATGATTTCACAATATTTTTATTTATTAACTATAACTGCAGTATGTGTTTTGGCATAAATAATGGTTGCCCTATGCAACAGACTCTTATCTGTAATCAGAGCGATGACATCTGAACAAACGTCGTCGTCTGCTGATGACGTGCGCGGGGTTTTCCGGGTGCGACGGCTTGAGATGCAGGCTAGCAGGCTAACCGAGTAACGTCGAAACACAGATACTACAGCGCTGTTGACTAACGTCGAGAGTCGGAGGGTGGGAAGTCGAACATGAAGGGGGTAAACGATTCATTTTACAAGGGGTGTTTCTGAAAGTGAAGTCGCCGTGATCTACATAGATTGATCTAGCTAAAAACAAAATGTCAACAACGCGGCCCCTCCTCGGGATGAAGCGAATCACCGAGGTAACCTGCACAGAGCCGCCGGGAGGCAGGCAGTCCCCGACCGCCAGCAGAAAGCAGTCCGAGCCGCTCACCGTAGACGAGTTCACGGTACATGAGGACAAGCAGACAGAGCTCAGATGCAGCAAACCGAAAGTCGAACAGGTTTTCCAAGTGACATTCACGATTATTGGGCTCTTGGATCACACTGGAGCCCACGGAAGTAAGGCTTCCAGGCAGATCTGGCTCAAGCTGAAGGGGAAAAAGGAGGATGTGTCAAAAGCGAAGGTAAATGAAAGTAAATTGTGAAAATGTTTATCTTAAACAATGTTGCTGCTTATTTTTTGTTTTGTTGTTCGACTGTTAGAAGGGAAATTGATGAACTTAACGTAACTTAAGTTGCTACGTAACAGCTGGAGGAGGCTGATGTCAATGAACTCAGCTGCGTCTGACAGCAACATGTTTGTCTTAATTTGACATTTAAACAAAGGTCTGTAGTATGCTGTAGACTCGTTTGTGTCTCGCTGTCCTCACAAAAATATTTGATCAATCTTTATTTTATTTAAATAGATCAAAAAAAAAATTATTATTTAGTTGTCAAACAACTTACTATTTTCTGTTTTCCACAACTTGAAACGGTCACTCTGCTCCACTCACATTCCCTGATCCAGACCGGCTTTTAGTCTTTACATTTCTGGGTGATATGCAAAGCTTGATGCTTTGGCTTAACTGGAACTTTGGGCCGAGAAGATAAACAACTACAATTTGCCCAGTTTTTTATCTGAAACATAAGTTAATTGATATTATTTCCTAGTTTACTGAATCGATCTAGAAAAGTGGTATCATCACACTCACAATCATAGTTTAATGTTGAGCATCAGCATGGCTGTGATTCATACCTGTGAATCACATTGGCCAAATCACAGCTGTGCTGAGACTCAACTGTGCAGTTGTAAGTCATATTACTTGAATAAATCATCACAATTCTGCTTTATGTCATTTGGGAAAAACTGCTGCCAAACCACATATATCCATTCCATTATAGCCAATGTAAAAGGATTGTTTCGGTGCATTTCATAATATCTCAGCAGAAAGAAACACATTAGTAAGCTTTCACACACATTTATAGATGATCCAACACTGTACAGTTTCACATAGATGCTTCCCGTTAATGTAGTGTCGAAAAAATGAGTTACCAAGACAGCAACAAAAGACGTGGTTTTTCACTGAACGCGTGGCGTCATCACCTAGTTCTGACATGCCATTGTTTGCAATTCTAGTCAGATCTAATAAGGAAATTATAACCATCAGTGCCAGTAAACCTGGAATATCCTTATTGTTAAGCCATGAAACGGAAACCACTCAGTGGATGTGTTTCGCCACCATGTGCACTTCCTTTTTGTCAAAACATTTTTAATATTTGTAATTCTTTTTCACAGGTATAAATATTATAACCACAAAACTGAAGTGTCTTTTCTATGAAATCACATTGACAGGCAAAAAACTCTTGTCTTTCTACATCTCACTGACTTTTGAATATCTCTTCCCGTTTTAATAAAAAAACAGATAGGAGGTAGTGTCTGCTTCTCATCCAAACTGTGTCATGAATTTTCTCATGAGTCTTTGACAGATCTGTTTGCTTAGTCAGGACAAGATGGGAGGCCCCCAGTGTATTTCACTTTCGGTTTTAGTTACTACTCAGAGTAGTGGCTTTTAACCTGGTGTCATTACTGGTACTGTATATGAGTATTTCTTTTACCGTAACCTGCTCGCTCAGATCAAAGAAATCAAATCAAAGAAAGAAAAAGTTCAGCAAAGACGTGGCAGAATGGTCCACCCCAAGGGGTTCCTGTGTTGTTCTTTCTTTCGAACTAGTAGTTATTTGCTTACACAGGCTCACCCACTCACTCAAAGCCACATAATCATATCAATAGCATGTCTTTTAAGTTAAAGAAACTCCAAAGAAGCCCATTTATCCCCATTGTTTTTAACCAGATTAGCGTATTTTAAAATACAGTACTGCACGATTTGGGCAAATAAGGTTATTCTGTATGTGTGTGTGTGTGTGTGTGTGTGTGTATATATATATATATATATATATATATATAATAGGAAATATTAAACTCACAACACTAAAGCGATGGAGATTGTGTGAAGCAGCATTTTCTGTGAACTGAAGCACTATTATGAGATGTTCGCATGTAACTTAACATTGTGCCGCACTTCACTCTGAAATGCCAAGTATATATTTATATAAACAAAACACAGCCTTTGCAATTTGGTAATCTCACTAAACCATATCTAGATTTTGATTTTATTTAGATTAATAGATCAGCCACAAGTACTTATATAATTATTAGTTAATTATAATTATATATATAATTGAAAGTATTTAATAAGTATCACATTAATAGCGTATTAATAATTATAGTCAGAAAATAGTTTTTTAAGGATGTAATACTTTCTCTTGTACTTGCATATGTATTCACACTTTCATCGATATGATAATGGGCATGTGGAATCTCCCTAGAAAGATGATGTAGGCCTTGGTCATTTGGTCCCTCAAGGCAAATCTTATGTGCATGCTAGTTTAAAATAATGAAACCAGTTTGACTGGTTTTTCTCCTGAGAATAATTATTCTATAGTGGTATGCTTGTGTTGTCAAGTCTCCCTGCTCCTTCTAGAAGTTAAGTTTTCTATCTTTCGCAATGTATGTGTTGTAATCCAGTCCTTCTGTGATTGTTTTGCAGGAGTATGTGAAAGGCCTATGTGACCCAGAGCTTCAGAAGGAAGAATGGTACCCGGTGGACATGCACTGCATTTTTGCTGGTGCTCGTGGACTCTTTTTAGACCGGCTGCTTAGAGACACGAGTGCAGAGGTCCAAGTTCTGGAGCCGGGTCGTCTGAGGTTGAGCGGGCGTGCAGAGGCTGTCGTCATGGCTCAAAGTCGTGTTCAACAGTTTGTCGCTCTCTTTCAGGAGAAGCGAAGCTTGCCAGCTGACAGAGAGCCCTTGGTTAAGCGCACTTTTAAGACTTTTGTGGAGGACCGGGCTGATAAATATGCCATGGAGCTGCTTTTGCTGCCCAGTGCCCTCAAAGAGGAACTTTTGGGCTTGGCCCAAAGCCCAACGCAGCCTATAGCTATCATAGACCTTGAGCAGGACCGCTCCCAGACTAGCACACCTGTAACAGACCTCTCCAACCGTATCCTGGACACCACGTTTGAAGATAAAACCTCAGGTCCTGCCACCACTCCTGATGTTATGCCTGGTCTGAATGGTCGGCCTTGCAATAAGCGACGGTCCTCTGGAAGCGAGCAGAGGGACATTAAGAGGCAATATTCATTGGAGAGGAGAGAAGAGGAGCAGTTGGATGAGCGACAGCGAGAGCCAAGCCAAACTTGGACAGTTGCGCCTGCGAAAGGGACGCTAGTAGCTAGTGAATCGACAAATGAAAGTGAGGTGGTGAGTCCTGAGACTAACTTGCGCTGTCTTGTTAACTTCTTCCGAACCATGGGCTACCAGCAGGAGGTGGTGGAGCGGGTGGTGCGTGAGACGGGGCAGACAGAAGACACGTTTTTACTTCTGGAACGAATAGTGGAAGAGACTCAAAAGACCCAGAGAACACAAGGAACACAGTGCACTTCTCGCACTCCCGACCCGATGCCCTGCGCAAACGCCTTGTCCACCTCTACCTGCATCAGGCTCAAAGAGAAGGAACGGGCACAGATGCGAGCTCTTGCAGAGATCAAGAGCAAAGAAAACATTAGACCACCTAGCACTAATGGTATAGGTCAGAAGAACCAGACAAGCAGCGTGCCACTGGCTTCTGCCACTCTTAAAAGAAACAATGGTGCACAGACTGATGTGTGTGAAGTGATCATCATTGATGACGATGATAACGACTTCACAGAGACAGAGAGGAAGCCTCGAATGGCTGCACTTGATTTGAAGACAGAGTCCCGGTTTGACTACTTGCCCCGTGGTAGCTCTCAAACAATGGTTCCAGTCCGGATGGAGAGTGTGACCAATCTCCGCAGCTGCTCTCAAGGCCCTCCTCTCCGGAGCACCGAAACACGACCAGGATGCTCTTACCAGACGCTCCCTGGAAGGGCACCTTTACCTCGCTCTGAGGCACATAGCACCTCTAAACCAGCACCCCTCACCGGCATATCTCGGTTCCAGCAGTCCCTGAGAACCCCCTACCGACTAATCCTACAAAATGAACCGGGCTGCCCAGATCTGCGACACATCATCATCGATGGGAGCAATGTGGCAATGGCGTAAGTCTCAGTCAGACTGTATAATTTTGGGGGGCAGTGACGGTTCAACTTCCATGAATGTGAAAGTATATTTCAAACAGTAACAGTAAATTCAGTGTGCATTTAAGGCTGCAATACACTGCAAAACTTTTGCCGAGATTTTTGCTCCAATTTACAGCGTAGACAATTTGACTAGAAACTCATGGAAATAGAAACTCGTAGGCAGTCTGCAGAATTGGAGCAGTTGGAGTTAGGGCTGTCAAAATGGGTGAAAAACTAAATTCAAATTTTGTACTTAAATATTATCAAAATTCGTATTACATTCGAATTAAAAAAGCATAATTTCAGTTAGGGTGAAGAAAATCTTTTGGCTTCTCTTCTGAGGCCACAAGAGGGTGCATCAAGCAAAATATTACTAATGAATTACGTTCATTCAAAGCATAAGATAACATGACTATCTGTGAAAAAGTACATAATGTTTAATGTTTATAAACCAATTATAAATAATTAAGTTGCTTAAAAAACCATAAACAAAACAGCATCATGTATCTATGCATAGTTTAATACAAAGGGTGGAAAGCCAATAACACATTGTACATTTTTCATTTAAAAAAAAATTGAGATGCAGTGGGATGAGGAAAAAAAAACGCCATAAAGTTTCGATATATGTTAAATTGCAAGAATTTTACATGGCTTTCAAAACATGCGGCTCCTTTGTGCGAGATGCAAGTGCAACGGTAATGGATGTCCCTCTAGGAAATGCGCGAAATATGTGTTCTGTGTGAACGGCTTGGTTTTCGTTTTGATGTAAACAAGCTCTTCTCCGCATTGATGTTCTCTTTTTCCGCAATATTTTTAATGAACAACGCAGCAGCGCCGCATCTAGTGACTTCAACTGGATAGGCTAACAAAAACATTATAATGCAACGACACTTACATCATCATCGCATCTAGTGCACCACTGATAAGGCTGCCTAAATGTGGATTTTTATTTTAAATTCAATGAATATTCGGAAAAAAAAATTACTGCCCTAGTTGGAGTTGACAGATTTCACAAGAAATCACCTAGTGTATAGTGTGCAAAGACTTTTTTAGCTTTAGACTATGATTCCATCCAGTCTGTGAATACCAGAAGTGTTTAATATTTTAGTTTGCTGTGTTCAGAGCAACTTGAAGGTCATTGCTGAAAGTAGCTGAAAAACTAGAAAGTAGTGTGTGATCCTCATATATTTAGTTCATAATGCCCCAGTTTTTCTTGGTAAACATTTCCAAATTCAGCAAGTGTGTGATGCCTGGTGTTTTTCAGATTTTAGTTGTGTAGTGTATTCCAGCCTTCACTTCTCCTCATTATTTTTGGTGATTTTATATATTTGACATTTTCTAGCAATAACCATTTACACAAAGGTCAAATTTAAAGTCTTCAAAAATCTCCCCACTTTGTCAGTTCCAAATTGTAATGGCAGCTTTGTCAATGGATAGTAAACATTTATTTTTTAGTTCTTTTGTTGTCTAAAATAAAACTGAGTACAACTAATTTGCTATAATTTAATTTCATTATATATATTGACATTATAATTGGCATCAGCCACCCAGCTTTCTTGATTCCAGCCCTTGAAAAGATTTAGAAGTTGGTTGACATAAGTTACTGTAAAACTCCCAAAATTACCAAAAAGCACCATAAATGTAGCCTATTGAAAGTCGTTTGAAAGCACAAAAGTTTTGTGTGAAGAACACTGAAATTTCTGCATTATTTCTGCAATTTCTCACAGAGTCTATCGTAGAGCTTGGAGACTTGAAGGGGGCTTGACAGATCCTTGTAACTGCTGCTTTCATTGTTTGAAAATGAACATTCTTCAGAATTTCTCCTTTTGTGTTCCTTGGGATAATGAAAAGCATGATGATGAGTAAATGACCTAAACTTTAAATGATGCATTTAGTATTTCGAGTTCAGCATTTGAATAATTCTTACATTATGAAACCATTGTAAAGGACAGGTGTGACTGATGATTTTTTTGGAGACAATTTGAGGGAGTCTGAAAACGTTGGTGTTGTTGAGTGTGTAAATGCCCATAAAGGTTAAAGTAAGTCACTTCCAGTAAGTTCTGTGTGTGTTAATGAACTGTAGTATGTAAGTGTTTGTGTTTGAAAACCTAAAACCAGGTGCAACCCCCTTTTTCCTTTCTGCATAGCAGTATCTGTCTTTCTCACCCACACCTCCTTCCCTCCCATGTAAAAGGCAACCTCTCTGTGGGTCTCTCCCTTTGTCAGCCCCCCTATTTGGCCCTTTAAGTTACCGGAGGTGACTGCACTTCTTAGAAGTACTAAAATGGAAACTGAGGTGTTATACAGGGGTGAAGAAAAGGATATCTTTTTAGACCCTACTAGTGAAGTCAGAGAATAGAAAGGTATATCGTGGGATAAGGTGTCAGGTAGGATTTTTTTTTGTACCGTAAGGCCTTTACCTCAACAAAACACGTAGGCATATACTAGAAAGATCTGAAACATAGTGTATTCTTGAGTTTTTAAGAAATGTTCCCACTCAAATTATAGCAAGAAACAAAATGGCAGCGTGTAATGCGAAGGTTGTCCTTTGCTACTCAAGAAAACAAAGTCATTTAGAAAGCTATGGACTGCTGCAGAACGCTCATACCTCAACTAATTATACCATATTATCCATGCAGAGCACTGAACAGTCAGTCTATCGCATGTCTTAAAGGCAGCAGCTCACCCAGGGTTTCTCATGGCTGATTTGTATGCTTGCATGATATTTGAGATCTAAATCCTCAGGTGAAATCTTGTTGCCATAGCAGCCCAAATATGCAGTTACCAAGAACCACTGCCACAGCAGATAGAAAGGATCTCAATATCTTGCAGTTGAAGATGAAAGTCACTGCGAAGGAGAGGTCATAGGTCGTGGACTGAAACTGGTGCTGTGTATATGCAGTTCATGTTCTTGCTGTAATGATGTTGCTTTGGCCTGGCACGTATCCCGGATTTGGTACAGTTTCATTTCTCATTTCACAGTTTTCTCAGGTAGTATGATTGTTTTGAAAGGAAAGGTTCCTCACACCTATCTACACTGAAAAGAAATGGCGCCTCACCTATTTTACTAAGTCTGTAGTATTTTAAAAAGTCTCTAGTCTGTACTGACACAGTCTAGAGTCATTTCGGACAAAGGACTACATTTACAGGTCAATTCTTGAAGTCTTACCTGTCCTGTCGTGTCCATAATCAGGTCAGAGTCTACAGTCACTGGATAAGATCTTCATATGGATGAGTTAGAGATGAACCACATGGGGGTTTTTTTATTTGGTGTTTTTTGTAAGGGAGAAATGAAAGGTTTTTTTTTTTTTTGCATATTTAGCAATTTACATTTCCAGACTGGGAAAGTTATCTGACTCTTTACGTCAGCGGTCGTTGATTTTGTAACCCTTCCTGTTTAAAATAACTTTCTCTCGTAGAGGGAACTTCCCTGTGACCCCTCTGCGGTTCAGTTTGTGTGACTGTGTGTGGACGGGGGGGTGGGGGTGTTTGTAGACGGCTGCACATCTGTATGCATGTGTCATTTTGTCTGAGCGTTTTGAATGGATGGAGATGTGTGTCTATTTTTGCACTCTTTTGCGTCAGTTGTGTCTAATCAAGACTTGACGAGGTAAAAGGAAGTACATTTTCTAGCACTGTTCTCAAATGCATTTACATATGTACTTATCTCTCTATCAGTGGTAGATGCATTGTGAAATTAAATGCAGAGCTGTTTTCTGATCGAGCAAATTGATATTCAGGAGGGAACTTTTGTCTTTTTAATCAGCCCTCTAGTTGAATTTAGCATGTTTGATTGTGAATGAATTACACCTCTTATACATTTTACTGCATAAGGGAATATATTGTATACTGCCTAGTAATTTAAAATTCTGGATACAGAATGCAGTGATAAATGTTTAAAAAACAGCAGTTACACTGTTTTCAAATGACCTCACTACATGGTTTATTTGTGACTGCACATCCATAAATGGAAAGTAAAGTGGAAACATTGTGTTGCATTGTGGGCTACAATATCCCACTCAATGCACTACATTTTGACAAAAGCAGTAGGTCCTCCAAACCTTCCATGTACACAGAAAAGTTTAACTCAGTGCACAACGTATGTCTAGATACTGCTAAAATTGTACGAGTAGTTTGATAACATGCTATTCCAAACTGGTTATGACCATTTACTTCCCTGTTTGCTCTCACTAGACATGGACTCCATCGAATCTTTTCTTGTCGTGGAATCGCCATCGCTGTAGAGGCCTTTTGGCGCCGAGGGCACCGTGAAATCACTGTCTTTGTTCCTCAGTGGAGACAGAAAAAAGACCCCAACATCACTGGTAGGAGTTCAGTTTCATTCTGTCATTAGACCAGCAATATATATATATATATAATTTGACTTGAAATTTCTAGTCAGAAATGTGACATATTACATATATTGTTGCAGAACAACACTTTCTGACCCAGCTGGAAAACTTGCGACTCCTTTCTTTCACTCCATCTAGAGAAGTGTGTGGGCAGAGAATTTCCTCCCATGATGACAGGTACAAGATCAAGCCGCTAAAAAGTCAACTAGAACAGAAGTCTGTTCCTCAACAAATTACCAGACAAAATAGTATTTAACTTGTGGCTTAGATTCATTTGCATACTGATTTTCAATAATGTTTCTGGAAATCACACAAATGTACTCCGTGTGTATAAAAGATGTCTATGCACAAAATAGAGATGGGATATCAAAGTGCATAAACCATTTCCCATGCACACATCAGAGTTTACAAAAAATAAAGTTGATGTAGAAATATGCACACTGCATATTGTCTCTTGTATCAGCACAGATATTTACAGACATATATTTTCAGTGTGTGTCATCTGTTTTCCTATCTGGATGCCGATATGAATATGGAAATGATATGCCGATGAAATCATGCATAATAAAAACAGGTGTTGTGTGCTCCATTTAATGGTTATTTCAAGAGCAAGTGGGTAGAATTAGAAAATCTGAGAACTTTGAGGATGAAATCTACACAATGTTTTATACATGCCCTAGGTTTTTCTCGATGCCCTGCTTGATCTATGACCTTCTTCACAGATTCCTACTTCATCTGGCTGAGAAGACAGGTGGGGTTATCGTCACCAATGACAACCTGAGGGACTTTGTGAACCAGTCAGAAGCGTGGAGAAGGATTATTCAGGAGAGGTAAGAAGAACACCTTTACAGCAAGATGTCCAGAACACCATCAGTGCTTTTTTTTCCTAATAACATACACTACTATTCCAAAGTTTTGGTGTCAGAAAGAAAGAAATTATTACTTTTATTCAGAAGGGACGTATTAAACTGACAGTCAAGTTTTTTTTTTTTTTTAGCACTTTCAAATAAATACTGTTTAAATAATGATACAAGTAATGCTGTTCTTTTGAATGTTCTCAATCCTGATATCGGTTTCCACAAAAATATTAAGCAGGACAGCTGCATCCAACACTGATAATAATAATCAGTGTTTCTTGAGCACAAATCATCATGTGACACTCATAACTGGAGTAATGTTACTGAAAATTCAGCTTTGCCACCACAGATATAACTAACATTTTAAAATATATTAAAATAGAAAACAGTTATTTTAAACTGTAATAATATTTCGCACTTTTGAAAGTAAATGCAGCCTTGGGCAACAGGGTCTGGTTGAGACTTGAGAAGCCATAAAAAAATCTTATTGACACCAAACATTTGAGCGATAGTGTACATTGATGTGTTATGTATGCTCCGTTAACGTTTGCTCAGATTTAGAGCTCACTGTATGGATTTTTCAGACTCTTACAGTTCACCTTTGTAGAAGATCACTTTATGATCCCAGATGACCCACTTGGAAAAAATGGACCTCACCTAGATGAGTTTCTATTTAAAGACCGTCGGTGAGTTCGAAAACTAACATTTTTCCTTAAAATAATACCCAGCAGTGGTTCTCAAACATTCCTAGTCTCGTCTGTTACTCAAACTTTTTTGTCCTCTCACAGAGGTAGTCCCATAATGGCCCCACCAAGGACAGACCTTCGGGCAACCCCTTCAGTATACACCTCGGCAGCACAGTCCACAGCACATCCCTCTTCCCCTTCCCACTGGCCACACTCTGGACCTCCAGACTGGCACCTTCCTCGACTGTCCCCTTCTCCACCTCCACAGCGGTCACCCTCAGAAACCACAGAGCTCAAAAGGAAGTTGTACGACATCTTTCCTGACCAAAAGCAGCGTATTGACCATATCCTCAGCGACAACCCATATATGAGGGACCTGAATGCTCTGTCGGGCCTTTTGCTGGGCTGAAACACTTTTACACCCAAAATTGTGGTTTTCACTCTTGTGCATGGAGGTCACAGGGCTTTTTTCATTATTAAGGAATTTCATGATGGAAAAGCGCTGCTACAAGCTTTTATTTGTTCAAGCTTTTATTTGTTCCATCAACTAATTTAGATTATGATATCCAGGGCCCTCTGATCGACTGCAAGCACAAAAACCTAGTTATAAGTTGTTTAATCGCTTTAAATATACGAGAATGTACAGTCCAAATGGCATATATTTGATGTAAATATTTGTGAACACAACACAGTTGTTTTGAACTGGCTTTGCTTTAGTTACTGCTGAAGGACCATTTGATTTGCAGTTTTTGATATGATTATGCTTTATGTAATTTCTGTTTTTGTAAATATTGACATTATTGAGCCAAATGAGTACTAGTTTCAGTCACTCAAAGTGCCCCACTGAAGTGCCCTGTCATCTGCTTGCAGGACAAAATTGCTCATTTCCTGTTCACTAATTTTAGTTCCCGTTAATTTTGGTGATGGTGACAAATTGCTATGCTGTTTCTAGGAATCCCTGGAGACCCCCTGTATCACCCAAGAGACTGTGAAACAGTTAAATGGTTTAAAAAGTTTCCAGATTACTCAGTGACCTGGCACGTCCCTTCCTCTGCCCTGTTGTGCAAGTCACCGTTAATATCAGACAGGAAACCAAAGCTGTCATTGATGTAAACCTTTGTCCCAGTTTTGACCATCAGAGGGCACTGTGGGATTGCTAGCCTTTACCAACCTCATTATGTAATGGAAGACAGAACATAAACAAAATGCAATTTCACAGTTGAAAAACATTATTTTAGAGCATTTTATTGCCACAAAAATGCATTTTCACTGTTATTGTTACGGCATCAGCTTTTCCCTGTCTTTGAAATATGTGCAGCGTTGGACTTTGTGAATTGGTATTCAATTTTGGGAATGAAAATGCATAGGCGTTAAACCCACGGAAGCATCACAGACTCGGCAGGCACTGTGGGTATCTCACAGTATGGCTGCTGAAAACCTTTTTCTTTTTCTGGAAGGCAGTGTTAATAAAGGCCAATTATGTGTTTATCAGGAATTATGTGGTCTGTGCTTGTTTTGTGGTCTCGTACTGACAATCAAACAGTTAGCATGAACCATGGTTTCTGCAGGTCATGAAAAGGGTCTTTAAAAGTCTTAATTCACCTTTTCACAAATTAAGACCTAAAAAGGTCTTAAATCAGGTCTTAAATTCATAAAGTCCTGGCATTAAATGTTGCAGACATTGCTAAAAATAAATATCTTCCTCTGTGTTTTTGTCTGCTTTTCTAGCTAGTTAATCAAACACACCTGAACAAGCTAATCAATATCTTCAATATCACTAGAAAGCTACGGACAGTTGTGTTTGATTAGGGTTGGAGCTAAACTCTGCAGGACAGTGGACCTCCAGGACTGAAGTTGCCTATCGCTGGCCTAGAGAGTCAGACTTGTAATCGAAGGTTGCAGGTTCGAGTCTCAGTATTGGCAAGAATTGTAGGTGGGGGAGTAAATGAACAGCACTCTCTTCACCCTTCAATAACCACGACTGAGGTGCCCTTGAGCAAGGCACCAAACCCCCAATTCCTCCCTAGGCACTGCCCACTGCTCCGAGTGTTCAGTGTGTGTGTGCACTTGGATGGTTTAAATGCAGAACACAAGTTCTGAGTATGGGACACCATACTTGACCACACGTCACTCACTCATAGTTGAATATGAATGGTATTGAGTTGAACTGACAGTAGGGGGCGACATCGCTCATACAAATGTACTAGTCAAGCCTTTCTACTCATGTATGTTGATGTAAGAGTACGTTACGCTTTTGGAAGTGTTTTTTTTTTTTTTTTTTTTTTGCTTCTGCAATATCAGTATATAATGTTCGGCTTTCTTGAACCAACATCTTTGAATATACTCCAAATAATTTTTGTCCTTCCTTTGTGACCTCACACAGCTCAGGTTCTCTAAAGTTGTGTAAGATGAGCAAACTAAAACCTACCCTATTATGCAAACCTGCACGCCTTTAGCGGAATTTGACTGGTCAACAGAATGCTTGGGGAAAAAAGTCTTGACTTTTGTGAAAGCATAATAGAAAATGTTTAAGACATAATGCATATGGCATGATCTCTCACTGTTTAAGAACACTGAGTTTTTAAACTTTTAATATGTTCCCTTTGTTCATTTGGCCTCTTTTTATCTGTATCTATTTAAATGTTACTTAGTTTAAGCATTTGTTTGTAATCAGCTTTAAGCATACATACATTAGCCACTGTTTAGTCATGAGTGAAAAAGTGTTTTGAAGAAAATAGGGGATCGATTGGGCAACCTAAACAGTTCTGTTTCCCATCTGTTCCCACTTTTTCTGTCGAACACAGCGAGAAAAAAACTTTCTTTCTGTCATGGGTGGGTGGTTCAAATACCATCAACATTCCAGAAAAGCTCAGCATTCTAGGGACACAGAATTTCTCCTCCCCAGTTGCTTGCTTCCTTAAACCTACTGAAATTTCCACCATCTCCTTTCATCTCCAACTTTCTCTCTCCTTTTAGTTGGTTGGCATGCTTACATAACTTGTCAAATTAATCCCTACCAGCCCTCCCCCAGTCCTGTTTAAGCTCAACCAGCAACGATGGGAACATTAATATCTGCTGGGATTACCAGTGAGGAAGCCATATAGCCTTTAATCTTTAACCGTAAACATGCCAATATAAACATCTTTATTGCACATAAAGGAATCAAGATTGACTGAACAGAAGATCAGAAGAGATCAGCAAGTCATTCATAAGTTGCACAAGTATGCATGAAAACATTTGGTTCTGATAGACTTCATTGAATAGATGCATTGTTAGCACAGATTATCATTAGCAGAGAGGCTGAAGTAAGTTGGAGAATGTGGATAATATTAGTTCCAGAGGAAAACATCATAGTCTGGATAGTTTGTGGTCATGGACTGTATCCAAAATTTGCAAATAGAAACAGATAGAAAAAATAGAAACGCAGAGGCCAGTTTCATTTTCAGTAGTCTGTACATACTTTATCACTGATTTTACTAGTTGCAAAACTACCTCAACAACTGCATCGTCTAGAATAGGGTTTTTTAAAAAGAGGAAAAAGAATGTTTTAATTAATGAAAATAATAGTATATAAAATGTAAGAAATATTAATTTTATTAATAACATTTTTTATTAAACAGAAAAAAAAGGAAAAGAACAGCAAAGTACATTTTGTCTCAAAGAAAAAAAATTTTTTTTTAGCACATTAGATTTTCATATGTGTTAACATATACATAAATCGGGGGGAAAAGGGATAATAATGATATACAGACAATAAATGATACTTATAATGCAGCTAACAATCAGCCCGGACATCCATAAACCATCCCTATAGATTAATCCTCTTGTTAGGATGGAAGCAATGTCACCAACAATATATGTTAGAAAAGGTTTCCAAATTGTATTAAATACACCACCCTTATCATGTAACATACAAGTCAGGTAATGCACGTATTCAAAAATAGTTCAATGCCACATCTTAACAGAGGGCGCTTTATCTGAGATCCATTGAATCCATTGCCGCTGCTGTCACCACCGTCGAGCTAGGTGGGCGTGGTTTCAGCAACCTGCTCCCGCTCCTTTGCTCATTTTCGATTATCCGGGAGTGACGCGCGGTGACGCGCTGCCAAGATGGCGACGGCCCGCCCCGCCCACTTTTGAGCTTCAAAAACTATCTTCAGAAATCTACGAGTGACGTCACGGACACTACGTCCATGTTTTTATACGGTCTATGGCAGGGTTCCTCAAATCTTGCCCTGGAGGGCCCATGCGCTGCAGAGTTTAGCTCCAACCCTGATCAAACTCACCTACCTGTGATTTTCTTATGATCCTGAAGACATTGATTAGCTTGCTCATGTGTGTTTGATTAGGGTTAGAGCTAAACTCTGCAGGAAAGTGGATCTCGTGGGCCAGATTTGAGGATCCCTGGTCTATGGTATGATGCTGGATCTGGAACTAAAGAAACAGAACCTCTGTATCTTGTTACAGAACCACAAGCAATGAGTAAGATTATCAATTTCTGTCTTACTTTTGGAAAAGTTGAGAGGGAGAAATATGAGCTCTATTAAGAATCTTGAGCTGAATAACTCTCACTCTATTGCATATACTCAAGCTCTTTGCATTTTACCAGGCAATTTTATTAATAATTAAAAAGGTAACATTTAGAAAATTTGCTTTCTAAAGCTGGTTGGAAATCATGGGATTAGTCATGATTACGATTATTTAATTCTATTGATAGCCCTTAAAAAGTGCATATGGTTGTGTATAGTTTAGTTTATAGTTTAGATGACTTTATATATATATATATAGATCAAAAGGGTGCTTCTACTAAATACTGAGCAAAGGGTCTGAATACTTAGGACCATGTGATATTTCAGTTTTTCTTTTTTAATAAATCTGCAAAAATGTCAACAATTCTGTGTTTTTCTGTCAATATGGGGTGCTGTGTGTACATTAATGAGGAAAAAAAATTTAACTTAAATGATTTTAGCAAATGGCTGCAATATAACAAAGAGTGAAAAATTGAAGGGGGTCTGAATACTTTCCGTACCCACTGTATATATATATATATATGAGTATATATATATATATGAATCTTTGTATAAAATGTTGACACCATATCTGTGGGTTAAAAAAAGATACAGTACAATGTGAACTTAATACAAGTAAATATTTAACAAGTATATTTTCCATACTTCCATACATCATTTATTATGTCAGTGCTATGACTAAGGTAAGGTAAAAGTCATGTAATTTATGTCTTATAGTATCTTTTTTTCTTTATACATCTTTTTTCTTTATATATGGCTTCATATTTTAGGAATATGGTCCCTTGTTATGGTTATTATTTTGATGTCCCCTGTTCTAGAGTAACTCCACTTAATACAGTATGTATAAATGCAATGACTTTTATGTAATGTGAAGAAGGAATGGCTACATTCAGGAGTTTGCTGACAAGGCAGTTTCAAGCAGTGATGTAGTGAGAGCAGGAGTACTCTGGGATCTTAACACACTGGGCTTGCGCTAAGGGAGAGAGCAAAATAGACTGTTACTCAATGCTTTTTTGAATCATCAGTGTGGCACACTGGTTGCTCCCGTGGCTAAAGGAGGGGCCACTCTCATTCCTCCATCTGCTGTAGAGCTGTAAACAATGATGTCATTTCCTCCAGGGGCTGAGTTGGCAATTTTGGAAGCTTAAAAGACCACAGGGCTAATTTACAGTAAGAGTGCTACTGTCCCATTTTACAGTCAGTTATTGAGATTGTTGCTAATCTAAGCCTGTTAAAATATGCTTGTCATGTATCTCTAACAAATGACTCATAATTAGTGATTATTAATATACAACTACAGGTGTGACTAGGTGATGTTTCATCTTTATTGACACATTTCTAGAGGTGTGTCTTGTCTGCAGTCATAGACAATGATGGCACTTTTGTATTAGTAGTAAGTTTTGGCTCTGCTGGCAGACAGGCGTGTTCTTTTCCATTGCCATGATATGACCAGCACATACACTCACCTACTTTCAACACCTGTTTCACACAATTTAGGTAAATACAGTGGTTGCCTATTTATCATTATAAATATCTTTACTGTCATTTATTGATTAATTATTCTTATTTTAAACTTACCCCAAACATTTAAATGGTAGTGTATCACAATTTCTAAAGGAACATTTGAACCGGAAGACTTTGAAAATACTGAAGACTGTTGAAACATACAGTAATATTTTAGCTGTAATGAATTTACCCAATATAAATTATTTTAAAAAGTCACTAACAAACAGTTACACTGCAATGTTCTTGTGTTGCATTCAAGAAACCTGCTTCACTGTAATATTATTGATTCCGTGTAGTGTGTATAAAAGGTGTGCACACTTTTCCATGTCTCATAAAACAAACAGCACCTGGTTTGGGATTGACTGCAATTTAATTTCACGCACTCTGTTCATGAGAACTGACACGAAGAACACTTTATAGTGGTCATCACAGTAATACAATAGGACACCTAGCAGTAGTA